CTCCTGCAAATCAGAACATTTAGACGCAATCACATCTGCGCTATTCATGATAAATAAAAGACTTTAAATAATTTTCCAGACACATTTATCTCCCGATACCAATAGTAGAAATCAAATATTTTTTTTGGCCCATTATGACTAGGGACTATACTCTCATTCTGGTGTAATAATGGAGGTTTTGGTGGAACTTTGCTACCCTAGCATGGCTCCAGTAAACACTCTATTAAAAATGCTCAGCTGTGAGAGCTTTTCCAACAGTTGGAGCATTAAAAAAACACTGAGTGCTAAACACTTTAAGTTAAATGCATGCCCAGTGCCTCGTTATGCTGCTGCCTTTAAAAAAAACAAGGCACTTCCATTGACAACAAAAGTTAAAATGAATTGACCAGCTCTCAAAAAACTGCTTCTGTGGAGAAGTGCCCTAACCAAAATGGCCTTTAAGTTTCCAGCTGACATACTGTAATAATCTTTTTCAGTTTTTCATGATTAACTTAACAGAGGAAGCAAGCTAAATATGCAAATAATGACATTTTGACATCACAATGTTATCGGATGTATTAATTAACTTGTGTAGATGTGATCTACTTGTATTGCCAGGTTGCTGGTTTTCATGTAAACCAGGACAGCAGTATCATTTTAATAAGGTCATTTTTGGGACTTATCAGTGTATTGGTGTGCATGCAAACTGAACATTTTCCAATATGCTGATAGCATTTTCTTAAAATCATCAAAGTAAAAAACAAAAAAATTAATAATAATAATAACTCAAAGCTGTGCCGTTTAATTTCATTCTATTCTAATTCTATATTAGTGATAACATGTGCTAATAGTAATAATCTGACCAATCAGATTCAAGCATTTAAAGATGTCTAACAATTAAAATGATTACGCCTATATACTCTAAACCTCAGGACCTGTTTCATTATCGGTGCATCACAGTTGAGACTTCTTGTGGTATTATTAGCCACTTTCACACTCGAAAGCTGCTAAATTTCCAGATTACTTTTCCCACATTCATTATTAGTACACACAGCAGCTTTTGGTATTTCAGTCATTGGCATCACCAATATACATTGCATCTAACACCATTTGCAAGAAATAACCATCTACCATAAATCTAGCAAACACCTATTTAGAAGTTTTTGGTTTGAATTCAAAACTTGATATATTCAGCAATCATTTTGACCTTCAAATGATTTTTGCTAATTTAATACAGTGCTTAATTGATTCTGTCATGTATTCAACATTGAATAAAAATTATGTAAAGAAAATTCTTTTAATATTTGAGCAGTTCATTATAGTTCATGTTTAGGAAATAACTGGGAGTTAAACTGTACATCTTTCAATAACAAAAAAAAAACACGTCATTCAGCTCAGTCACACACAGAAGCTTGCAGATTATTTGGTTGTATTTTACATCTGGGGCAGAAACATAAATTGGTGCGGATCACAGAGCAGATCACTGTGGCTTATAAGAGGAAGAGAGCTATCAAAAAAGAATTTATATATATATATATATATATATATATATATATATATATATATATATATATATATATATATATAAAAGACACTGTCAAAAGGTACCTGAGACTTGAAGACGTAACTGATGTTGTTTGGTTTTGTTAACATATGCAGCCTTTCAAACAACTCGGAATTCCTGCTTCCTACTTGGAAACAACATCTTTCTAAACTAACTGAGTGTATCAAAGACATCAAAGACTGGATGACCAACAATTTTCTTCTCTTAAACTCCGACAAAACAGAATTATTACTTATTGGGCCTAAATCTTGCACACAGAAGATCTCGCAACTCAATTTACAATTAGAAGGATACAAAGTTAGCTTTAGCTCTACTATAAAAGATCTGGGTGTCATATTAGACAGCAATCTAACTTTTAAAAACCATATATCCCATGTCACAAAAACTGCCTTCTTTCATCTGAGAAATATCTCTAAATTAAGAAATATGCTATCCATCTCAGATGCCGAAAAGCTAGTCCATGCTTTTATGACTTCGAGACTGGATTACTGTAATGCTCTATTTGCTGGCTGCCCAGCATCCTCTATTAACAAACTTCAATTAGTACAAAATGCAGCAGCCAGAGTTCTGACCAGGTCTAGAAAATATGATCATATAACCCCAATTTTATCCTCCTTACACTGGCTGCCTGTTAAGTTTCGTATTGAATTTAAAATATTACTTCTCACCTATAAAGCTCTAAATAATCTAGCTCCTGTTTATCTAACCAACCTTCTGTCTCGTTACAAACCAACTCGCTCTTTAAGATCTCAAAATTCAGGGCTTCTGGTAGTACCTAGAATAGCAAAATCAAGTAAAGGAGGTCGAGCCTTCTCTTTCATGGCTCCTACACTCTGGAATAGCCTTCCTGATAATGTCCGAGGCTCAGACACACTCTCCCAGTTCAAAACTAGATTAAAGACCTATCTGTTTAGTAAAGCATACACTCAATGCATCACATAGCGGGTTCCACACAGGCTTCTGCATCTTGCTTATATACACTATGAACAGCAGCTACGCTAATTATTCTCTTAATTCTCTATTTTCACCTGCGGATACTCATCCCGAGGTCCTCAGATTATGCGGAGTCACTGATTGGATCCAAGACCGGCGACGTGATGATCCCAAGGATTCCATATCCGGGACCAGGCCATATCCTGAGCTGCTGCTGCGCTGATGGTCGTGGGGAGTGGAGAACATGAGTCTGATTCCAGCGACGCTCCAGGGACAGACGATTCTTCGCTGAGGCCATCTTCCAGCCGAAACCATGGCGAATGAAGCTCTGCACAAGACTTTTGGCCAGCGGAGAAATTAAAATGGTCGTGCCCAACTGAGTCTGGTTCCCTCAAGGTTTTTTTCTTCACTCCCATCAGGTGAAGTTTTTTTTCCCTCTCCGCTGTCGCCACTGCCTCGCATGGTTCAGGATTGGTAGAGCTACGCATCGATGAATTTGCTCTTCAGTGTTTGAATTCTCAGTAATGATTAAATCACACTGAACTGAGCTAAACTGAACTAAACTGAACTTAAACACTAAAACCTGAACCACACTGTTCCAGTTACTATGACCATTTATGTGAAGCTGCTTTGACACAATCTACATTGTAAAAGCGCTACACAAATAAAGCTGAATTGAATTGAACATCTAGAATGCCACTAGACACTGGAAATCTGACCCGTGAACTTGAGACTTGACTTCAGCGAGATGTGTCATTTGACATCACTTTCACTTCACTTTCTGCTGAGGCCTAATGGTTAAACAGTTGGACTTGTGATCCAAAGGTTGCAGGTTCAAGTCTCAGCACTTGCAGGGATTGTCTATGTTGGGAGTGAATAACCAACACTCTCACCATCCTTAATACCACGACTGTGGTTATTCCCTTCTGAAAGGCACCAAACCCCGAACTGCCCATCGAATGGCGCAACAATGCCTGCCCACTGCTACGGGGATGTGTTCACAGCTGTGTGTGCACTTGGATGTGTTAAATGACAGTAGCTAGCTCTCTGCAACTCTCACATGGGCGCCCACTAAATATAAGCAGGGCTACACCCAGTCAGTACCTGGATGGGAGACCAAATGCACAAGCTAGGTTGCTGCTGGAAGTGGTGTTAGTGAGGCCAGCAGGGGGCGCTCAACCTGCGGTCTGTGTGGGTCCTAATGCCCCAGTATAGTGAAGGGGAATATAGACTGCTTAGTGAGTGCTGTCTTTCAGATGAGACGTTAAAACAAGGTCCTGACTCTCTGTGGTCGTTAAAAATCCACGGATGTCCTTCAAAAAGAGTAGGGGTTTAACTCCGACATATTGGCCAAATTTGTCCACTGGCCTCTGTCCATCACAGCCTCTTAAACATCCCCATATCATAATTGGCTTCATCACTCTGTCTCCTCTCCGCTAATTAGAAGGTGTGTGCTGTGCAGTCTGGCACAATATGGCTACCGTCGCAGCATCCAGGTGGAGGCTGCACACTGGTGGTGGATGAGGAGATTCCCCCTAATGTGTAGAGTGATTTGAGTGTCTAGAAAAGCGCTATATAAATGATTCCATTGATCTGGTTTTAATTGGCATACTGTGCTCTCTTGGGTATAGCTGACAATACAGTACTTTTTCCTATAACTAAGGGCGTACTCACACTATGCTATCAGAAACGTGCAAAGGCCCGTTTTCTGGATCTTTTGAGAGGTGTGAGTGCTCTGAATCAGCTTCAGGCACGGTTAACTTGGCCGGCCCTGGCCTGGTTGGAAGAGATGTGCCAGAACGCGGTTTACGTGGGCTTTGGCGCGGCAGGTTTGTAGTGTGAGTGCAAAACGTGCCTGAGCCCGAAACTGATGGGACAAGCGTGCTTTGGCCTGTTTCAATGCAACGGTGCATTGTGTGAGCACGCCCTAGGAAGCGGCCGATATTAGATTTGGATGGTGTGATACCTTTGGATTAAAATATCATGGTTTTACGGTATCACGGTATAGTAATTACTGCTTTAAAATATGTTGTTTTTAAATGTCTGGGTAAAAAAACAACACAATTTTACCCATTGAACACAATATATATTTATCTTAAGAAACATTAAAAATATATTGGAACATTAGCTTTCGATGTAGAGTTTTTGTTTTAGAATTCAAATATAATTACGATTTTGCTTATGCTTAAGAAATAAAAAATTAAATGAGTTTTTAACCATATTGACAGACCTTCCTTACTGGAAGGTAATCCTAAAAAATAAATTGTGCATTAGAAGTTTTAATATAGTATCGATACCAGTGCTAAATCAATACTTTTAAAACGATACCGGTGCCAAAACGGTGCCTGAACCGATGGACACAAAATTATGGTGGATACCTCTTCAAAAAAAAAAAAAAAAAAAAAAAAAAAAAAAAAATATATATATATATATATATATATATATATATATATATATATATATATATATATAAATTTCCGATAAATTTTAATAAATCTCGTTATTGTAATGGATCTGTTCTCACCTGTATGACGTGATCTTTCTCAGTTTGGTGACTGGTACATCATAGCCGCACTCCTCCAGCACCTCCTGCCTGGCGATCTCCTCCAGAGAGAGGTTGGGTTTGTCCACAAGGCCTGCACACAGCTCAAAGGTCACGCCTGCCGAAGCTGGAGGTTGGTGGCTGGACGTCTCTTCGCTCGTCTCCCCTGCTTTGTCCTCTTCCGGGACTTTGGGTTCTGTTGATTCTGACTCTTCTTCCGCAGGCTGCAGGGGCTTGGGTTTGCTTCGCTCCCATTCGCTCATGTATACAGCTGTGGAGATATAAAGACGTGTCACTCATCGTGTAAGAGAGCTTTCAAGAGGACGCAAGGATAGGTGAGGAAAAACATCTGAGTACACAAACTCTGTGATTAATGAGCTCTTAAACATACGCTTTTAGATCATGTAGACACAAGCATATGTTTGAGAACAAGCTGAAGTGGGGTCAGTAAGGGTGACCAAGATGAAATTAAAAAAAGATTTTTGCATCTTGCATTTATTTTAGTAATGTTTTTGAAAAGCTTGAAAATAAATGTATTACATCCTGAAAAAATACTGTGCTTTATTTATTACCTACAAATAATATTCTAAAACCATTATTTTCCAAAATCTTCTATATATCTTTTTTATGTAATCTTTTTACATTTTATAGTCAGATATTAAACTTATAAGATGCGAGACGTGTTTGGCGCGATTTGTTGCTATTTTCAGACCAGCCCAACCCTAATTTCCATGTTTTGCACCACGTTGTTAAATATCAAATCCATTTGTGCCACTTTGTGGACTCATGGGTGTTCCGGTTTAAAAAGGAGGTGTGTTAAGGCGCACTGTCGGTAAGTTGCTATTTTAAAAAGAACTGAAAATAGACTGCATCATTGCCAAATCAAACCTGGTTTAAAATCCAGTGCAGACCGTGTTAGTTTTGCGCTTATGTGGGTCCAAAACGCATACAGATTGTTTAATACACACAGGATGTACAGCAATACAAAAATATATTTACATATAAAAATAAAGGATTAAGACATAACAAAAATAATTATTTTCTACGTAAATATAAAAACCACTACCTCCATGCCTTCATCTCGGAAACTTTTTTTCAGTTTATTTATGATAACTTGCATTTGTATAATGCTAATATTATTATTATTTATTATATGCATATTTATATTTGTTTGAATAAAAACAAGTTTAGATGTGTCCATCTGTCAGGTTTTGGAGACGTATGCATCACCATATGGGGCATAAGAGTAGGACGTGTGTTTGCTGGAAATTAGAACTTTGAGCTTAACAAATTAAATTAAATATGTAGGCTAATGAATGTCCTCAGTGGTGTGTGTACAACATTGTTTCCTTATCCAAAAAAGTGAAGGAGTGAAGTAGAGTAAAAGCAAAGTAAAGAGAAAGTAAAGAGGCCAAATAGAGGTGGCTCATACTTTATCTTTGCGCTACTGATGGTCTGTTTAACTGTTTTCTCGCTAGTGAAGTGTTCTGACGCAATTCACTCTTAAAGGGAATGGGAGATGAGACTCTGATAGCTTTAATGCAAGTTATGCTCAAAACACACCCATAACTCTTTAACAGAATAGGCACAACCCTGTTAGACCATGCGTCAGGCGCAGAGTATTTCTCTGTCTTAAAATAGCAAAAGTGAATTCGGACATGCCCTTAATGCTTTTGCGTCATGCGCTTTAGACTTTGTGCCTAAATCATTAACATAGAGCCCATTTTTATTTATAACTGCAAATTTTTTATCCCCAAAATTAAAATCCATTCCAATAGGAAACTTTTATCTTGATTTTTATATGAAAATTCTGTTCTGAATATAAGAATAAACTCTAAGAAAACATGGGACTTATTGATGTATTTAAAATGAATAAAAATAAATCAAACTTGGGCTTCCCGGTGGCGCAGTGAGTAACACATCGCCTCACAGCAAGAAGGTCGCTGGTTCAAGCGTCGGCTGGGTCAGTTGGCATTTCTGTGTGGAGTTTGCATGTTCTCCCCAAGTTCACATGGAGTTCACAAGTTCACAAGCTAAATTGTTTGTGGTGTATGTGTGTGAATGAGTGTGTATGGGGGTTTTCCAGTGATGGGTTGCATATGGATGGGCATTTGCTGCGTAAAACATATGCTGGATAAGTTGGTGGTTCTTTCTGCTGTAGCAACCCCAGATTAATAAAGGGACTAAGCCAAAAAGAAAATGAATGAATAAATAAATGATAAAACAAACTCTAAGGTAAAATTTTATTGTAAATTAGTAAGAAACGTCATCACACAGCAAACAATTTTGTGTTTAAAAGACATCTAATAGACATCAAAACTTAGACAGCTTGGCTAAAATAAGGCTAAACTTGGGCTGTCAGTGAAAATCTAATAGACATCTAAGAATAGGCCAAAACTAGACAAGTCGTCAAATAGACAGATTAGGCAGACTTTATACGTGTATTCATTCATTTCTGTTTATTTGATGACTAGTCTAGCTTTGGCCTATTCTTAGACGTCTATTAGATTTTCACCAACAGAACAACTTTAGCCTTGCTCAGCCAAGACGACAACGATTAGACGTCTATTAGACATCTTTTATTAAACAAAAAATTCTTGCTGGGCAGTAATTCACAGAATAATCTCTAAAACATTGTATAGACAGGTATTGCAAAAAGAATCATGTAAATAAGATGCCTTAGCATCTACCTGAAATAAAACATACCAATGTTTCCTTTTATTTTTCTGAAAGTTTTTTTAATGGTTTTAGATTTAGCTAATGATAATAACCCAGCGGCCAACTCCCTTTTCACCACACATGGATCTGAACCCACAACCTTACAGATATCAATCCCCAGATCTTGAACTACTACGCCCTTTGGATGAATGTACTGTACTTGTGGGACTGACTAAGAGCTCAATTCAAGAACGGCCATCCTTGAGAAGACTTGTTCTTATGTTTCCCTGCACAAGGCCTGCCTTTTCATTTGAAGCATTGTTTGAAGACTACAGAAAAAGAAAAAAAAACTGTAGAAAGACGTCTCTCTTTCAATGCAAGGCTTTCCTTCCATTCTGAGAGGCAGGGCGCCGTCCCTGGCGAGCATGTATAGAACAATAGTGTAACAGTGCAGCGCGGGGCCAAAGCTTTACAGAGAGCGCTGAAAAATGCTCTGTTTGCACGACGACCATCGACATGAAAAATGTTCCATTATGAAAACGTTATTGTTTTAGAAGCTGTGGAAAGTCTTTTTAAGTCTTTCTGCAGAGCAATAGGTCAATATATGGCTTATTCTTTTGTGTCTTTCGACATGTAATCTAAACATAACGTTTCCATTTAGAAGGCCACTAGGTTATTTTTCCAAAAAAAGAGTAGAGAAACCGCAAAATTTGTTTGTTCAAATCCATCATCTATCTAAACGTGAACAGCAGTTATGAAATGTTATCTGATATCTGTTGTGTATCAGATGTTTTTAGAAGGTTCACTGTAAAAATCTGCAGCAGAACAAAAGACATTTCTCCATCTCTTTCAAACAGAGATAACGGAGGGATCTGGGTGTTATTTAACACTTTGTAACAATATACGTTCAAATGAAGAAGAATGTGAAGAAAGAGTTTTTTGCGTATCCTTGTAAAACATACTGTGTCAAGATGTTGTTTAGTTGTCAAATGGTGCAACGAAATCAAAGAGTAAAATATTACATATGGGCTTTAGGGAAGTTTAGCATGAATCTGGTCCACAGAGGCACTAGGATGGCGGAGAGCTTATGTTACAAGGACATCTTATTTAAAGGAGAAACCAAAAAAAACAATACATTTAGGGACAAACCTTACAAAAAAAAACTTTATTTACATTGAAATGAATTTGAAATGAGATGCATTATTGCAACTCTAATTTTACGAAGTAACATTTAAATGGATTGAAATGATTAGTTTTATGATTTAAGCCTGGTTTATACTGGTTTATACCCACGGTGCATGCATTTATACTTCTGCGTGCCGGTTCTGTCGCTCTGTAATAACACTTCAGAAACGCTAGCTGGCAGTAGGTGTTTCTGTTACTCTGTGTTGAGATCTTTGCTGGTGTTTTGTTTTTAACTGAATGCTTCCTCAATGTACAAGTGGCTCAAACTCGGCGGATGTGCAACAAATTTATCCATGAGGTACACACAAAACAACAGTCTCCATCCAGAGCTCCTTCGCGGGAGTCCACACTTGTAAACACTCACTGCATCGGGCTTGCGCGTCTCTCACCTCCGCCCACACTCGTCAACGCTACCAAGCCGACTAATCACAGAGCTTGCTTGCGCTTCGCATCATTGTAGTTGTATTTTTTGAGAGGTGTGAATCAACGTCGTTGACGGCCACGGCGAGGGCTATGCGTCCACGCGTAGGCTGCGCCGTAACATAAGCGTGCGCTTGACGCAAAAGTATAAATCAGCCTTAAACATTCACCTGCAGAGGAAATGTTGCATATCAAAGAAAGTACAATTACTCAATTAACCAAATTGAATTTTATTGGGGCGGTTAAAATAATTAATTTTGGCAGTTCACTAAATATTTTTTTAAAAACTGTAACTGTAATCTTTCGCCAATCTCAAGATGACTTCATGAATTCTTCATGCTGTATATTATAATGCAGTTGAATCAGCTGGTCTGTGTCACTGCTCTGAGAACAGCGCTGATCACAGAGACAATCAAAGCCATTTCTGTTGAGTGTGTGCTTGTGAACACAATCGTCAATCTTAGGTGTTTATGAACTCCCTCTTTAGTGTTAAAAAATGCAATATTATTATTTACTTTTGTGTATTTGTTGTGCCGGTACTTGTGTTTTGTTTAATTCATTTAAGAAGTGTGTATTCTGTGAGCAGGGAATATTGAAGGTTTGGTAACAGATCAGACTGTTTCAATTAAAAGATCAAATATTATTCTTGTCAAGTAAAATAAAAAATTGTGGATGCAAATCATTAGAGCATATTGAAAATTATATGAAATGATGACAAAATAATCTTAACCAGTGTTGGGTAAGTTGCTTTTAAAAAGTACTCGATTACACATTACAGAATACTGCTAGAAAATTGTAATCCGATTACATTAATAACTACATAATGCAAAAAAGTAATCAGATTACTAATTACTTTACTTTGAAGTTACTTTTAAAACATAAAATATATCTATAAAAATACAAAATATACTTTCGGTTATTGAATATTCACTGAAAAACATTACAATGGGTTGATCACAGCAGCTTGACATTTAAAATTTTTTGTTTTTTATTTTTGAACACAAAAGTAGGACATGAAGAAACCTGTAACCACTGACATCTATAGTATATAAAAAGCACTGCAGTGTTTGGGTGTTCCGTGTTTCTCTGTGGTAATTAGTCTACCAAAATGTGTATATTCCTAAAGTATGAAACTGATCGGACAGTCCTTGTCACATGACACGCAGTTTTAACTAATGCGCCTGGGAAATGCAAGCGCGACAGATGGGATATGTAAACGGCCCCAACAAATAGCTAGGCTTCTCTTCATATTCAGAAGATACCTTCACTCCCGATCCTGCACAAAAATCAAATTTATTATGAATTGGGCCTCCTTGGTGACGAATATTATCTTAGAATGCTTTCTATTCAAATGCTTGAACAAGTAGCTGGTCGAGTTAAAAGCAGGCGAAAGTTCTTTAGAGACTGGACTTTTTACGCTCATTGAAATCAAAGTAATGTCTGTATTTCCACTTGAAGAAGCAGCCGCTCTTTACAGCAGCTATTTCAGCCTGCATTCTCCAGCAATTACAAAGCACATGCAACTGACGTTGCAGTGGAAAACGTGATTTTAAAGAAGCATATTTTTTTCTTCCAAACATTACATTTGTAATGCAAGTAACTCAATTACATTGACTGTAGTAACTGTATTCAAATTACACAAATGTAAAATGCAATTCGTTACATTACTGCGTTCCTCAAAAATGTAATTATATATTATAACGCGTTACTGTGGAACGAGTTACACCTAACTCTGATCTTAAACCAAACCAAAACATTAGACCAGAGTAAGTTCATACCCATAACTTTCACTATTGTCCATTTATCAATTGCTGGACATCACATGAAAGTAATTGTATAGGATCATTTGTAGTAACAACCAACATGTTAAGGTGCCCTATTATGGATTCTAAAAGGTTTATATTTTGGTTTTGGGAGTCCCTGTCAACAAGCTGATGAAGGATCGTAACACATTCATTTTCTTATAATATGTTTTTTTTTTACCTAATTATCCCAATGAATCTTATATAATTTGTTCAGAGATTCATTTTTCCAAACCCATCCTTTGCACAATGCTCAACTGCAGTAATTGGTCCAATGACCCAGTCTGTTGTCAGCCCAACCAATTTTAGGATGCAACATATAAACAAATTTGAAATATTAATTTTAATACTAACTGCTATTTAGAGTTTGCCTCAACTAGGTAGAGTTTCTAGATTGAACAACTCGAATAATTTTGAAGTAAACCTCTTCAATTAGAAAAACAGGACCACAACTATAATCAAGTGAAAACAACAAAAAACACATTAAGAAGGACTTTGTAGGGCATTACCTGGGCGAAACTGCTTGACCAAGATGAAACAGTGTGATGTGGTGTTGAAAATCAGCACAGAGACACTGGAGAGAGGAAAGAAAATGAAAAGCAATGAATTTAAAGCTTGAGTAGGCATTTAGAGAAGCAGATGAATACTCAAGAATCTTTCTTTCCTGCAATAGCAACAACAAACAAATCTGATCCAACACCCTGGGTAGATGTAGAGAGTAAGTGAAAAGGAGCGCGTGTATGTGTGTGTGCGAGACAGTGAGGCACATGGACACCCTTGCTCTATCAAGCCCCAACAAATCACCCAGGATTAACACCTTGGATGTGGTCTTGGCTTTTCACTTTAGCTCGGTTTGAGACTGAACATAATGCCGTAAGAAGAAGAGAATAAATCCCTGTGTCTTAAGAATCTCTGTATAATAGGATTTACTCACTGAAGCATACTAGGATAGCCAGGCCTCACTGGACTGAAAGCAAGCTAATAGCTCAGCGTGGCAGGAGGTCAGAGGACAGAGTGTCCCAGTGCAGCACTTTTACATTCATACAGAAAATATACTTCCTCCAATCTTCAACCATTACAAAACATATACTGACATAACATCTGCCTCCAGTCATCCAGGCTACTGGTATCAAGACCTATTAAGAGATTTCAGCACCAAATACGTAATGCAGTACATTCTGTGCGTTGTTTACAGAAGGCTGTTAATGTTCAAGACACAGACTTCTATGCATCTTATGCATAATCAAAACTAAAAGGGATCCAATTAGAAATTGTGAGAACCATATTTTAATCATGTTCAAAAAGCACAAATTATTTACAGTTAAGGTGAAATTATTAGCCCTCTTGTGATTTTTATTTTTTAAATATTTACCAACTAATATTTAATGGAGCAAAAACATCTTCACAGAATTTGTTCTTAAAAAAGAAGACAATTTCCTTTTAAGAATTTTTATTTTTTATATTTATTTATTTATTTATTATCTTGGCTGTAATTTAAACAAATTTTAAGGTCAATATCATCCCCCTTAAAAATGTTCTGTCTTTAATTAGATATGAAATAACCCTACTTTTGACTAATTAACCTAACTTGTCCAGTTAACTTAGCTAAGCCTTTAATTGCAACTTAAGCCGAATATTGGTATCTTACTAATGTCACAGCAGCGATATAATCCTTGCAGATCTCTGGTAAACAAGCAGTTCGCTAAAGAACTACAAATCCGCCATTATATGAACTACAAATTCCGTCATGCACTTCATACACACCAGTTTCTGATTCACTTTGATTACACGCGCACACACACAGCCGGAGGATCGTTATGGACTGATTACATGGATTTTAAATTTAGCACACACACATCTTTGCAGAGCCTTGTTTAATCTTGTTTAACCTTTGCCTTGCCGTGTTTGACCCTTGCTTTGTTCTGTTTGTTTACCTTGCTTGCTGCCTGTACTGACCGTTCGCCTGTTATTTGACCAGTCTTCTGGATTTGCCTGCATGTTGACTGTTGCCTGCCTTATCATTCTCATAATAAATCCTGCATTTGGATCCTTAACTCTGTTGTCACCGTCCCTCACATTTCAATTATGTACTGTCATCATGGCAAAGACCAAATAAATTAGGTTATTAGAAATGAATTGTTATAACTATTGGGTTTAAAAATGTGTTGAATAAAAAAATCTCTTAAAATTTAGAAATCATTTGAAAAATAATTCCAATTTCACAGTATGTCTAATAATGTTGTCCTGTCTTTCAGATGAAGTCATAATTGTTAACCCCCCTTTGATTTTTATTTAGTTTTAAAATATTTTCTTGATGTTTAACAGAGCAAGGAAATTTTCACAGCTTGTTTGATAATATTTTTTCTTCTGTAGAAAGTATTTTATTGTTTTATCATGGCTAGAATAAAAGCTATTTGCTTTAAAAAAAAAAAAAAAACATTAAGGTCAAAATTATTAGCCCCTTTAAGCTATATTTTCTTTCGATAGTCTACAGAATAAACCATCATTATACAATAACTTGCCTAATTACCCTAACCTGCCTCGTTAACCTAATTAACCTAGTTAAACCTTTAAATATCACTTTAAGCTGTAGAAGTGTCTTGAAGAATATCTAGTCAATATTATTTATTGTCAACATGGCAAAAGATAAAATAAATCCGTTATTAGAAATGAGTTATTAAAACTATTATGATTAGAAATGTGTTGAAAAAATCTGCTCTCCGTTAAACAGAAATTGGGGAAAAAATAAACAGGGGCTAATAATTCTGACTTCAACTGTATATATACAATGTGTAATTTGACTGCATTTAATTTGCTATGGTTGTAGTGGCTATGTTAACAAAAATCCAAATGAAATCCAAAATGAAAAACAGCAAAGCACTGCTAAAACAGAAGCCACTTTCAAATAAACACACTTACTATTGGTCAACTTAAACTATTGCCAATTTGCCATCACATAAAAAGTCAGTTCATTTGAAAATGAAATGATTGGATTCAAAACTATTACATCTTTACATTTAGAGGCCATTCACTCAAAACCACTCTGTCAAATCCATTGTGCTTCCTTGTTCTTTTTCATTGTGAACAAGCACTACACAAACATTTTTGTTCTGTTCTTACACCTTAAGTTTCAGTTATAAGTAGCTAAACATTTGATTCGAAAACCAGAAGTTTATTCCCCAATCCACTGCTCAAGGGCTTTTCTCAAAGCACTGTTTGCCTCTAGCTTCAGATTATTACATTCAATAATACATTATATTAGCAGGTTGTTTCAATGGCAATGGAGAGAGACGGCTCTTTGAGTTGGGAAAACGGATATGTCTGTAGAAGCAGGAAGCCCAGCCCTGTCTTTCCCATGGTGAATGCATGCCAGAGATTACCACACAGCCTGAATGCTAACCAACACACACATCCACACATCTGAATCTAACCCACAACATGTAATCATAATGCATTAAATAAAGAGTGTTATCCTGGATCCCATAGTCACTATATGTTTTTACAACTCCTTGTTGTGGGCAGGAAACGTTCCTGGGACAAATCATTGCATGCGGTCTTTAACAACATATGCTTTGTCATTAGGAATGCAAATCTAGTGACAAAAAATATGTAAAACTTAAATATCTAAAAGACAATTAACAAAGCTGGTACATTTGATTGATCACATGTGAACACCAAACAACAGAATTAATCAAATTTAATCAAATAAATGTTTGATGAATTTATTTTGGTGGTATCTGAATAATTGAACTAAAATTGCTCTATATTGTTCATGCTGTGTATTACAATGTCCTGCACATTTAAAATTATAGTTTTATTTATACTCTATATCTCACTATTAACTATTTATCAATTGCTGGACGTCACGTGAAAGTAATTGCATACGATTATAGGTTGTTTTCACATGATGTCATTGATGTCGCATGAAATTCAGATGGAGGGCAGGAAGTGATTCTTCTACATAGGAATCGCTTTCAGAACACCAAAATACTTCTGTTTTATGTTTATAATTGTTTTAATCGGCCAAAATACGAAATGCTGAACAGCTTTTTTTAATAACTTCCAAATGTTTCTGCTCATAAAGGGGAGAAAGTTCAAGAAACTGGCTGAAAAACACAAGAAAAGGTGGCATGTAATCAAAATTTGTTCAATACATCCATGTGTACAATCTTTTTTTGAGCATGATAATTTGTTTGACAGAACCAATAAAGATTATATACAGGCCTAGCTATGTGTATAAACATGTTAATGTGTTGTATAAAAATCAGATACAATCACCACCACACTTATGCACCCTGCCATGTAATCTCAGTCTTGTTTTGCAATAATCCATGTCTTTACTGGCGTTTTGTCAGAATAAACAACTGTGAAGTGAACATCGTGATGTGCAGCAGCGGTGAATGTCTGTTGATGGTAAGTTTAAGTCCATTCCCCCTTACAAATATAAATAAATAATAATGTAGACTATGCGTCCACGCGTTTGTATGCTTGTTATTTCGTGACGTCTAGTTATATTAAACCTGTTTTTGAACCACATAGTAAAGTGTATAACAGGAACAACTCTTTGTTAATGAATGCTACATAATACTGTAGTATAGTAAACTGAAAAATGTAATAAATACTATATAGTATAAACTGTGGTGCATTGTGATGGTGTATACTTATAGCGTAAAAAAACTGAAGCCTATTGAATAATTTGTTTATTACTACAGTTGTACCACAGCAACAATATAATTACTAAAACCGTTTTATTGAAGTAATTATCTATAGTATGCTTCCAAACACTATAGTATTTTTTTTATGTAACGTAATAGCTTATAGTGTCTACCGCCCCAATGACAGGCACATATATTTTAGTTTAGTGGAAAACTCGCCCGTCTTCATGATATAAAGATCATGTCCAACATACTGTATGTGATTGTTTTCTATTTATATCTCCTTTAAAATATGGAATAAATCTCAAACATACAGACTTCCCTCTATGTCTGCCATTCAGTTTATCACTTCCTGCCCTCATTCTGAATTTCAGTTACCAGAACCACGTGACTGAAAGCAACCTATTGGTAGAAGCAGAATATGAATATTTTAGCAGTAGGCATTCCAAAATGAACATGATGATTCTCAAACTTTTACCAAAACTTTGATGGCCAGATTAAGAGCTCCAATATTAGAGGGCCTCCTTAATCCATCCGTTTCCATTAGGAGGAAGCATCATTCAGACCTTACATTTGATGTCCATCAAATAAGCTCCACCTTTTTTCTTCACCCTTAATGAGTTGTGGAGAACAGACTATGCCGAATGAAGAGTGCAGTCTGGGTCATCCTTTGAAAACTGCGTCTGATGGGTCAGTGCTCCAGCATGTCCAGGCAAGTCTGAATAACATGCTCATCTCTGCTTCACATCTCCAGCCTGAAAAGTACTATCTAAGTCACGCAGGACGTGTCACACATCGTTTAACCTGCCGTCCATTAGGACTGCTTAGATCTCATTTTGGGATGCAATGCAATGGGAGAAGCAGAGGCCTAGTGCTGGTTTAAAACAATCACTCACACATCACTTCCAAATTAAAAACTGTAGATGAAAATAAATATCACAAACAAATACACACGTTCATCACTGTCACAGGATTATGGCTTCCAACTCCTTACCTACACCAAAGACCAGCAGAGCTCACTACAGTGGCACTAATGACCTGAACAGACGCTCCATTTAATGGCTTTACCTTTCAGCTGTAGATCACCTCATTCATCAATCCACCAAACAGTACAGCAAAACAATGGCTCAGTCAAATGGTGAGGTCAAATATTTTAACAAGTCCACTAAGTTTGGAGACTTTAAGATTTGTTTTATATATAGTTTTTGAATTTTTTTTTTGGTCAAACTTTATTGTAAGGTACAAATCTTGCTGTTAACAAACCAGTGACTTTAGCTTGATAAACTTTTAATTTGATGCTTATTAATGGTTATTACGGTAGTAGTTGGTTTTAGGTATTGAGTAGAATTATGGATGTAGAATAATGAAATGAAGAGTATGTAGATACTTTATGGATTACTAATAAAACAGCTAATATCTTAGACATTAGTTGACAGTGAGAATTGATCACTATAGAGAAATGATCTCTAGGCACTCTGTATTTTAATGTGATTTATGCTTGTAATTTTCAGTAGGGCGGCGCAGTGGGTAGCACGTTCACCTCACAGCAAGAAGGTCGCTGGTTCAAGTCTCGGCAGGGTCAGTTGGCATTTGTGTGTGGACTCTCCGTGTTCGTGTGGGTTTTCTCCACAAGTCCAAAGACACGTGGTATAGATGAACTGGGCATGCTAAAATTGACCGTAGTATATGTGTGAGTGAGTGAGTGTGTATAGATGTTTCCAAGGGATGGGTTGCAGCTGGAAGGGCATGCGCTGCGTAAAACATGTGCTGGATAAGTTGGCGGTTCAGCCCGCTGTGGCAACCGAAGTCAGTAGTAATTAAACCAGCCCTGTGTGTGACACCTGATTAGGTTCTAAATGCATATTTAATTATTTTTTGATTCTCCTGCATTAGTATTAATGCTGAAAACAGCTGTGCTGTGCAATATCTTTGCAAACAATGCTACATCTACATTTAAATTTCAAAAGACCAGCACTTAGGCCCAATCCCAATTCTACCCCTTAGCTCTTCCCCTTATCCTACCCCTTGTTTTGCACGTGCCCGTGAAGGGGTAGTGGTGTCCCAATTCTCTTTAGCTTGAAGGGGTAGGGCTAAGGGCAAGGGTATACACCCCTTCAAACAAAGATTTTTCAGGACCACATTTGAAAAATTTACCAGAATACACCAGCCACAGCTGCACCCGGAAGTAAGGAGATCCACAAAATAGTATTTTTTGTCATTATTACGAATTTTTACAACAAACAAACACGTTTTAATATATTCATAACCGCATTGATGTTTTACCATCATGCTTTAAAAAAAAAAACGCTAAAATAAAAACCGCTAGATTTCACAATCTATCTGCAATCTATAATTCCTGAAGAATAAAGGGACTAAGTCGAAGCAAAATGAATAAATTAATGAGCATTTTGTTTAGACTCCAAGATCTGATTAACTGTTCACTATAAACAGCAAACATCAGTCCAAGACACTCGAAAATGTGGGAAAATATTTAAAGCCTCTACTAACATAGCTATTCCTTAAAACTGTGCCTATGCTTTTTGGTAAACAATGGTCTTCATCAGGGTAACAGTGTTAGGTGCGTCAGGAATTTCTTTTGAATCCCATGGTCTCATGACTCCAGCATATGTTTTACGCAGCGGATGCCCTTCCAGCAGCGACCCATCATTGGGAAACACCCATGCACACTCAATCACACACATACACTATGGACAATTTAGCTTACCCAATTAACCTGTATCACATGTCTTTGGACTGGTAGCGGGGAAACCGGAGCACCTGGAGGAAACCAACGTGAACGTGGGAGAACATGCAAACTCCACACAGAAATGCCAGCTGACCCAGCCGAGGCTCGAACCAGCAACCTTCTTGCTGTGAGGCGAGAGTGCTACCCACAGGGCCACCGCGTCACTGCTAATTGAAATTAAATGTTTCAAATAAATGTTATAAATTAATCTGATGTCATTTATATGTATCCGATGCATAGAGAAAAATGCAGAGACTTTGGTGAGCAAATCAAAGCAGATTCAGCATTGAATTCCACTGTAATGATTTATTGGAACAAGTTATCATTTTAAAAGTTATACTGCATTAGTTATTACAATTAGTAGTGTTTTTTATTTATTTAGAAATATTAGGAAATAAATTAGTAAAATTACCCATGACAACTTTAATGTAATCTAGTTATATTTACCTTCAGCCCACACCTCGTAATGATTTTTGGTCTTTGGCCCTTTATACGAAAAAGCTTTGACACCTCTGCATTAGAATATCTAAACAATGATTAACTGTTTACAATGTTGTAGTTAGTTACTCACAATTAATGAAAATACAATGAACCCTCAAAAAACCCTTGACAACAAACCTCACTGAAACCCTGAACAAGAGCCTTTCTTCAGCTCTGCTTAGGTTTGTTCTTGCACCTTGTCCAAAACTGGTTTGACATAATGGCACTATTTACACCTGTTATTAAGACGGATTCAGGATAATCACATCACAAATAGATGGGAAAAACACATTTTTATTGATACCCAACTCTCTCTTGTTCATTTCCAACCAGTTTTTTTTTTTTTTTTTGAAAGTGATAGTCTGTCAAGTGTATGTGTGTACATAACATATGCACTACAAAAGCATGTAAAAAAAGACAATGCAAAAAAAAGGCAATTTAGTTTCTTTAGAGAATCTAGTTTTGTGTTATAATCCCGACTTTGTGATTGTGATTATGTGTTTTCATCTTCAAAACAAATGTATCTTTAAACACTGAAAAGTTTAAATGCGCATCTAGTGTGCTTCAACAACACATCCCATAAGGTTTATGAATTAGGTCAGCAGGCAGAGAGGAAGTGGGGTTTTGGTGCAACTTTAATTCATTAAACATCATGAGAATTTAAACCATGAAAACGATTGAGTAAATGCAATTTCGACATAACCAAAACATTTTAAAAACCATCTATTTAGTGTTGACTGGTTAGATTGACAAAAAATTGGGTCGAAAACGTGAATTTTTGTGGTGTGTTCCAAACAGGATAAATTCGCTTCTGAATGGAAGTGATTATCTGAATAGTCCTGATAATTATCATATTAAGATGAAACATAATTGGTCCAAAATCCAATTCCAAAGCTTCTATGCTCTGATTGGCAGCATTTTCCCACCTCTTAAATTTACAGACTTCTCTTGTTGTGAATGTTTCGTTTCTGTCGGCTTGTAACACCGTGTTCTGCTTTGGTTCATAGACTATTTTCTCACAGGCATGGTCCAGACGTTCCTCAATGAAGAACAAAGGTCTTCTTAAGAAACCTAATATCAGAACATGCTGTAACTTTTATATCATCGACCAGAGACTTTGTAGCCACTTTGTTCCACCAGGTCTTCTTACAGAGTATGATTGAATCTCCAGACTGCTTCATGAGAAAATAAAAATCTCTGATGATATTGACACACAGCCCACAGAGGGACTCAATCCTCACCGATAGCTTTAATGAACCCTGTATGAAAGGTCAACCGTGATTTCAGGGCAGCAGTTGACAATTGGAGAGGTACAAAGAGGCGCTCTTAGGTGTGTAATGACCCAAGGAATGCTCTGGGTCGGTGGGAAGAGGTTGTGTGGGAAACATAACAGAAGTTTAACTGCTTCTGCCTCTTTGGGACACTTGAAGCCTAGTCAGGGATCAGTGACTGCAATGAAGACAGGTGGAGGTCTTCAAACGCCTACCTGAATGTGCTAAATAGAGTTTTGCATAAGAAAAAAAAGGAGAGATTTTTTCATGACAAAGTTCAATAAAGATGTGAGCCTATAACAAACGGAATTGAAGAGAGATCAAGATGCCTACACAATGACTTTCGGGGTAGCGGAGAACGTCCTATTGTTGCGCCATCAAGAGACATTCTAATTACCAAAAGCCTCTAATCCTCCAAGGTTTTTTCTTGCCTTCAAATATTACAGTATGTTAAATGACTGACATTTTAAACAGGAAATCCACATGCAAATTTCTCATTAAAGTAGGACGTACCAAAAGCAGCCAGAACACAGTCATATAGACAAACAAATTAAATAAAGACCTAAATAAATGTCCTCACCTATCATGGGTTTGCATAAAGTCCCAGGACTTCTTTGTTCCATTCTGAAAAAAGAGCAAAATGAAAAAGACATGTAATTTTTGAAATGGCAAAAAGTCAATGTGTAAAATCTGCGTCCAAAAGTGACATGCAAAAAAATCTCAGTTCAACTGTATGAGTGGCTCAATAGAATGTTTTAGTTTTGTTTCATATAATACTAAAGTTGTTTTTATACCATCATTTCAGGGTCCTTGAGGCATATTTGTTCTCCTTCAGGAGATGAATTGTCTAGAGAAATTGTATTTTCCCAGCTTAGACAAGGGCTGATGTTTTAAACATTGCAAATGTAACTACTAATGTAGTTGCCAGGCAACCAGACATCTCATTCATCCAAAATTTACATAAAAAGCTAATTTTCACAGATCCAACAAGCAAAAACCATTTTGGTAAAATGATTTTAAAGGTTTTGCTGTTCAATAAAAAATAAAATAAAAATAATTAGGGCTGGGTGATTAATCGACATTTAGAACTAATAATCGATCACATTTTTCCAGGTCAATCTTTTCAATTACTTTTCCCGGTTCTTTTTTTGACTGTTGTGTTATAATATGGGTTTTCATTTCAGTTGTTCAACTTTGCTTTTCAATATATAATCATATTATCGTAAATAAAATAATACTTATATCATTAATTATTTTAAAATCAACACTGTAAAACCCAAAAAGTTAAGGTAACTTAAACAATTTAAGGAAACCGATTGCTACAAACCATTAGAGATAAAAGCTAATGCTAATGAATACTGTGAACTAAATCCATTTGAGTAAAAGAAGCAATTTAAGCACAGTAAAACCCGATAAATGAAGAGAACTCAAACTAACAGAGTACTGTAAAACCAAAAAAGTTAAGGGGACTCAAACCGTTCGAAGAAACTGATTGCAACAAACCATTTGAGATAAAAAACTATTCTACAGTATATGAGTACTGTGAACCTACTCCATTTAAGTCCATTTAAGTTAAGTAAAGAGGTATTTAATTAACTCTACCTTCAACACAGTTCAAACCTCCTTTCAAATAAGTAAAATGAACTTTAAGTGAATTTTGAGTTAACTACACTTATTTCATCTGATAAAGTTGACTCTTGGGTTTTACAGTGAAGTAATGAACCCTTCCTTCAGAAATCTCTCAATGTGATGTGTAAGCATGTTTACTGTACAAAACCTCAGTGAACTCTGAGGGCAAAAAAATAAAATAAATAAATAAAATAATTGTTTATTATTTTGTAATTGAGTTCAAATGTTCAATTAATCGAGATTTAGATTTAAAATAATAATAACTAATTTTCCTTCGGCTTAGTCTCTTTATTAATCAGAGGTCGCCACAGCAAAATGAACCACCAACTTATCCATGTTTTACATTTACATATGTTTTCCAGTTGCAATGCACCACCGGAACACCCATGAACACCCATGCACACCCATGCACACCCATGCACACCCATGCACACCCATGCACACCCATGCACACCCATACCCACACCCACACCCAACCCACCTACCCACCCACACACAAACACACACACAAACACACACAAACACACAAACACACACACACACACACACACACACACACACACACACACACACACACACACACACACACACACACACACACACACACACACACACACACACACACACACACACACAAACTATATTTGAATAATTTCTAAAATGATCATTTTTAATGCATAACCTTAAAACACTAAACAGTAAAGCAAGGTAAACGTATCAATTCAATCAATGTCGGCAAAATGAAGCTAATCACCCAAAAACATTTAATTCATGCTTCAAAATCTAGTTATCATGTCAGTAACTTGGCCACCAAAACATAAAGTGTATTTGTCATTGTGTGAGCCTCACCCCTCAAAATTTATTAGTTGTTTTTTCACCAAGAAGATCAAATTAAGGTTTAAAAAATCTGATATTTGTTGAGAAGAGTCAATAGTACACAGACATAAATAAACATATATACAGTACATTTATTTTATTAATACATGTAATCTTGTTTGTCCAGTTACTGTATTGTACCATTATTTGCATGTTACCACAAATACACAAAAATACTACAAAATAACCTCCATGAAAAAAAGTATTCTTGGTGGACATCCTGTCACTCTTTGTGGCCTCATCAGAGATTACACGTCTTCCAACTGCTCTTCCAGGAGCATGTTGCTGCTGGGTCAAAAGGTGGCCATTTTGCTGGGCAATCTACATATACAGTTGAAGTCAGAATTATTAGCGCCCCTTTTTATCCCCCCCCCCCCCCCCTAATTTCTGTTTAACAAAGAGATTTTTTCAACACATTTCTAAACATAATAGTTTTAATAACTCATCTCTAATAATTGATTTATTTTATCTTTGACATGATGACAGTAAATCATATTTTACTAAATATTTTTCAAGGCACTTCTATACAGCTTACAGTGACATTTAAAGGCTTAACTAGGTTAATTAGGTTAACTAGGCAGGTAAGGGTAATAAGGCAAGTTATTGTATAACGATGGTTTGTTTTGTAGATTATTATAAAAAAAGGGCTTAAAGGTACTAATAATTTGACCTTAAAATGTTTTTTTTTATTATTAAAAACTGCTTTTATTCTAGCTGAAATAAAACAAATAGGACTTTCTCCAGAAGACAAAAACATTATCAGGCATACTGTGAAAATTTCCTGAGTTTGTTAAACATCATTTGGCAAGTATTTAAAAAAGAAAAAATATTCAAAGTCGGGCTAATAATTCTGATTTTAACTGTATATATGATACCAGACTTGATTGATTAAATAGATGATGCAAACTGTATAGCAGTTAGAGGTCATTTACCAATTTACCAGACATTACAAACAATGTCAATATCAGATATTTATGGTGTAAATATACAAATGTTTGATACATGTTTGATACAAATGTTTGACACAGGGAGAACATGCAAACTCCACAAAGAAATGCCAACTGACCCAGCCCGGACTCGAACCAGCGACCTTCTTGCTAAGGCGACCGTGCTAACCACTGGGCCACCTTGTCGTCAAATAATAATAATAATTATTATTATTAATATTATTATTATTATTATAACTACTATTATAATTATTGAACTAATTTAATATTACATGGTAATATAAAAATGCAACAAAATAAACTGTTCACATTTAATCTTAATTAATAAAACAATTAAACAGCAACTTTAGGATTCAAGCTCGAGAGAGCTAGTAGATCTGTGCATACGAGTAGTCAAAACACAATGGGACAGGGTGTGTAGCTTTAGAAACCTTAGCAGTAACAGACATAGCTTAGGTTTTGAGTACAGTGCATGTACAGTACTAAGTGCCTCGCTCACCCTTTTATATAAACCTTTAACACTTTTGATCTCTACAATGCCTGAAGACAGGGATTTCTGTGAAGCATCAATCTCACAAGAACAGACATGTTTCTTGAAAAGATTGCTGGAGTTACTCAAGATGATTGGGGATCGGCCCAATGTGTGTGCGTCTGTGTTTGTGCTTGAACTCTACTCGAAAGAGCATCACCTTGTGCTTTTCCTTCTTACACTTGTAAAATGCATCATCTTTTTTTTATAACATGGATTGGGATGAAAACTACTATTTGGAACTCACATTTTTGGAAAGTCGTTTTTAACTAGCTGAATAGTAAGATTATGATTAAAAAAAGATTATGCACCATGTAGAATGCTTGATATAAAAGTTCTCAACACAAAATGTCACATTTTCTCAAAAGAAAGTGTTACAGAGATCACAATATAGCCTCAATCTTTAAGAATTTGCACCCAATAGTTATCTCACCACACACAAGATCAGGACCATGTATTATAGTTAAGAACAAGCTTATAACATTTATAATAGGAGGTTTTGGAATTGAGTAATTTTCTTTTCATGGGCGCTCTTGATGCTTACACCCACAGTATCTATTCATCCAATACAAAAGAGTGAATTAGGAGATCTGTCAGAACTTTAAAATTAGGCATAGCTCAGCATAAGCAAAATCTTGTCGTTTCTTATACAGAATGTGCTTTTATTATACTAATAAATACATTTTGCATAAAACATTATGCAAAATATATATATATTTTTTTTTATGATTAACATACTTCATGTGAAATATCATTCATTCATTCATTTTCTTTTCGGCTTAGTCCCTTTAATAATCAGGGGTCGCCATAGCGGAATGAACCGCCAACTTATCCAGCATATGTTTTACGCAGTGGATGCCCTTCCAGCTGCAACCCATCACTGGGAAACACATACACATATACTACGGAAAATGGATGGATGGATGGATGGATGGCTAATAAAGTTTTGGTATTTTTTCTTTATTTATTTAAAAATATCTCAGCCCCCAAATGCTAGATGACCCTCTAAGACAAAAAAAATACATGGACTGTAAACCGCGATACTAATGTAGTTTCATATATATTTGGGCTGCACAACATTGGAAGAATCTAACATTACATAACATACAGTTGAAGTCAGAATTATTAGCCCCCTTGAATTGCCCCTATTTATTTTTTCCCCATTTTTTGTTTAACAGAGAGATTTTTCAACACATTCCTAAACATAATAGTTTTAATAACTCATTTCTAATAACTGATTTATTTTATCTTTTCCATGATGACAGTAAATAATATTTGACTAGATATTTTTCAAGACACTTCTATACAGCTTAAAGAGACATTTAAAGGCTTAACTAGGTTAATTAGGCAGGTTATGGTAATTAGGCAAGTTATTGTTTAATAACGGTTTGTTCTTTAGACAATCGAAAAAAAATGTAGCTTAAAGGGGCTAATAATTTTAACCTTAAAATGGTGTTTAAAAATAATAACTGCTTTTATTCTAGCCAAAATAAAACAAATAAGACTTTCTCTAGAAGAAAAAATATTATCAGACATACTGTGAAAATGTCCTTGCTCTGTTAAACATCATTTGGGAAATATTTAAAAAAGAAAAAAAACTAAAGGGGGGCTAATAACTCTGACTTCAACTGTATATAACATTA